ATATAAAATTATTATCTATCAGTTAATCAAATATATCCTATTAACTTAAAATTTAGGAGATAGTTTTAAAAGACAGGCTATTTACTAAGCAGTACTAAACTCATAATCAAAGGAGTTACTGTGGCATTTCCAAAGAGAAATTTTTAAAATGAGATAGAAATTTCTATCTGATGTTTTCATCATTCACTGAATTAGTATTAGTTCTTTAAAAAGAAGAAGGAAGCAGAAGGTATATAAGCCCCCAACCCCAGTTTTGAGACAATAGGAGAACAGAAAGAAGAAATTGACCATTAATACTTCTACATACTAATTTGAAGTCCATAGACTTAAATTACCCTACTTTAATCACAAATAATCCCTTACTTATTGCCTGCTCAATCATCTTAATTCCATTCTGGCTTGCAACAATCACTAGTGACCCTAATCCTAATGGGAATAAATATGTGCTTCCTTCAATTTCCAAAATCAATTCTAAACCTTTTTTCAGAATCATACTAGACTGGTTGAGAAGCTAAATCAGAAAAAGGGAAGATCTTTCTTCTCAGAAATTAATATTCCTCTGGCCTATTTTTCCTTTTAGTGAAGCAGTTTAGCTGGCAGGACAATGCTCATTTTATATCCATGCAAGCATCTAGAGTTAGTTTACTAACTCTAGGATTTCACCTACAGACCTGAAAAGGTAATTGTTCTAGTTCCACAAAGAGACAAATCTAAAACGCTTGGCTTTTTCACTGCAATTGCCTACATGAGAGGCCAGCTTGCATTTCTGGCCTTGGTCAAGCATCACATACACCCCCCTGAGCATACCAAGCACAGGAAACCATTTTATACTAGTCACCAGCCATTTGTTCCACTGCTTTAAAACCCAGTGCTGTTTCTCCTCCACAATACACAGCCTTCTTTAAAAGCTCCTACAAATTCTACTTTCCTAGTACCAGCATCTCCATTAATAACCATGAGATTTCATACTTCAAACATTAGGTAATAAGAAATTTACTTCCAGTCTCTTACACAGCAATCTCAAGCTTTTCACCACACACCTAATGATATTTTAACAGAATAGTACACAAAAATCTTAAGATATTTATCAGTAAGAAATAAATATGAAAACTACCCTCATAAAGTATCACATATTGCAATATCTGACAAACCTTCAAGCCCTTACAGAAAGAAAATTTAAATGTCTTAAAGTCTTCTAAAATCAAAAACCCTAAAAATGTCAAGTATAATGTAAAAATTAATATATATAATAATGACTTTAAAACACGTTAAGCAATCCTGTGTCTTTAATTTTATATTCCAATATTTTAAAAATGTATAAGGTACATACTTAGTACATTCTAAATAATTCAATAATCACAATATTCATTTAAACAAACTATCCAATCTCTCACTCTGAGTTTATGGACTTCCCGAGTTATTCCACTAACATATTGTTGCAGCAACCAGGCTATCACCTCTCACAAAAAGACCTTAAAAGGAGAGAAACCAAGATGGTGGCACAGGTAAACACCGGAAATTGCTGCCTCCCACAACAAATTCAAAAATACAACTAAAAGACAAAACGGACATCATCCAGAACCACAGGAAGGCTGGCAGAGTGGAAATTCTACAACTAGAAGGAAAGAGAAAAGCACACTGAGACTCAGAGGAGGTGTGGAAGTGCAGAGGTACGGAGGCGCACACAGCAAGGGCTGGCAACTGAAGACACGGCTGGCTGTCTTTTTGAATCGGGAGGGAGTCTCAAGCCCCCGACTGCTCTGAACTCCAGTTCCAGGTGAGTCTCTGGAAACGTAGACTCATACGGGAAGAAACTGGACTGTCTGGCAGCGGGCAAAACTCAGAACTCGAGGGCAGCTTTCTCTCAGAGGTGCTTGCAGCAATTACCGGGACACTGAGACTCGGGGCCCCTTAGGGAAGGGCTGAGGATCAGCCATAGCTCTTTGCTCCGCCCTGTTGATCCCCTGAGACCCTGCCCCACCCAAGCTGTGGCAGAGGCTTTTGCATATGAGTGCCTTGGCCCTTTGCAATATGAAAATTACCTAACAAACTGCAGCTGGGCCAGACAGACCCAGAACTTCCAAGAGAATGCCCAAGGCCCCACAGCAGCTTGCATTGCTTCACAGCTGGGCCTCATTTGGGCACCTCCAAACCCCAAAAAAGGAAGGGGAATCTGCAGATCTCTTTGTAGCTCTTACTGGGTAGCCTCAGGCAGAGACTAAATTAGCACTTCCTTAGATCCAAGAGCCAGTGTACCCAGTGGTCAGAGTGGGACCATCCAGATTACAACTCCTCAAATCCATGAAGGACACACTCAGGGGGCAGACTCAGTGAGCACCAAAGCCCCACTGAAGCAAGTCTTACCTCATAAGGGTGTCTTCAGCACAGAAGTTCTCCCACCGTAGACACAGCTGATTCTCACAGACAACTGGCCTGGAGGTCAATTCCTCCCAGTGATACAAACTACAATCAAGGCTTAACTACAACAAGACTGTGCACACAGCCCACAAAAGGGTGCACCAAGAGTGTCCACCTCATATAATTGGGGAGGCTGAGCCACTGGGCCCTATAGAACACCTAGCACACAAAGCCACTCTACCAACACAGGGAAGCATAAAAAATGCGGAGACAAAGAAACAGGTCACAAATGACAGAAATGGAGGAAAGCAAATGACTGTATATAGAGTTCAAAACCACACTTTTAAGGTTTTTCAAGAACTTTCTAGAAACCACCGATAAATTTAGTAAGACCCTCAAAAAGTCTGGTAAGACCCCCGATAAATGTACTGAGACCCTCAAGAAATCTAGTGAGACCCTCAAGGTTATGAAAAAGGACCAACTAGAAATTAAGCATACACTGACTGAAATAAAGAATATTATACAGACTCCCAACAGCGACCAGAGGAGCACAAGAATCAAGTCAAAGATCTGAAATATGAAGAAGCAAAAAACACCCAACCGGAAAAGCAAAATGAAAAAAGAATCCAAAAATACGAAGATAGTGTAAGGAGCCTCTGGGACAGCTTCAAGCGTACTAACATCAGAATTATAGGGGTGCCAGAAGATGAGAGAGAGCAAGATATTGAAAGCCTATTTGAAGAAATAATGACAGAAAACTTCCCCCACCTGGTGAAAGAAATAGACTTACAAGTCCAGGAAGCGCAGAGAACCCCAAACAAAAGGAATCCAAAGAGGACCACACCAAGACACATCATCATTAAAATGCCAAGAGCAAAAGACAAAGAGAGAATATTAAAAGCAGCAAGAGAAAGACAGTCAGTTACCTACAAGGGAGTACCCATACGACTATCAGCTGATTTCTCAACAGAAACTTTGCAGGCCAGAAGGGAGTGGCAAGAAATATTCAAAGTGATGAATGCCAAGAACCTACAACCAAGATTACTTTATCCAGCAAAGCTATCATTCAGAATTGAAGGTCAGATAAAGAGCTTCACAGATAAGGAAAAGCTAAAGGGGTTCATCACCACCAAACCAGTATTATATGAAATGCTGAAAGGTATCCTTTAAGAAGAGGAAGAAGAAGAAAAAGGGAAAGATACAAATTATGAACAACAAATACACAACTATCAACAAGTGAATCTAAAAATCAAGTGAATAAATAATCTGATGAACAGAATAAACTGGTGATTATAATAGAATCAGGGGCATAGAAAGGGAGTGGACTGACTATTCTTGGGGGATGAATAGTGGGGGATGCGGGAAGAGACTGGACAAAAATCGTGCACCTATGGATGAGGACAGTGGGGAGGGGGGGTGAGGGCAGAGGGTGGGAACCGGGTGGAGGGGAACTATGGGGAGAAAAAAGAGGAACAACTGTAATAATCTGAACAATAAAGATTTTAATTTAAAAGAAAAGACCTTAAAAATTTTTATTTTGGGTAAATGAATGTGTACTGAGTTTGTGGGGAGGGGAGACATTGTGGAACATCCAATGATGCTCTCTTTCATCAAATCACAGACTTTACAGTGTATTCTTGCAATGCAGGATAAAGTGAAGAAAGAGATTTGCCATTAGTAAGAAACCGCCTGTAAGGAATAAGTTAATCCCTTTCAAATATTTTGGACTATTTCACACTGTGAGCTAGGATTATTCATAACAGTAAAGAAAATCTACGCAGCCCTACCCAGTTTGGCTCAGTGCATAGAGCACTGGCCTGTGGACTGAAGCGTCCCGGGTTTGATTACAGTCAAGGGCACGTATTTCGGCTGTAGGCTCCTCCCTGGCTTGGCCCCTGTTCGGGGCTTGTGCAGAAGGCAACCAATCGATATGTTTCTCTCACATTGATGATTCTCTCTGTCTTTCCCTCTCTCTAAAAAAAAAATATCAATGGAAAAATCTCCTCAGGTGACAATTAAAAAAAAAAAAATCTACCCAAAATTTGAATATAATTACAATACTCTGTCTTGAAATAAGGATCACAGTGTATGAAAAACCTCCCCAGCAAAAGACTTCAGGAGCAAAAAGACAGGTAGTCAGAACTGAGGAATATAAAGAAAGTCCTTTTTCTCACTTCATTTCATTACAATTTCTGCAAGCATACCACAGGAGAAGTATTTGTTTTGAGGAAGGTAAAGAATGTTTTAAAAACTGCAGAAGAGATAGAGAAATAAAAGTCTTACAATATGCATATAAGTATCATTCTGGTTCCCAAAGATTTTCATTGCTTTAATAATTGCTCAACAAGCATTGTGAGAAATCCACTGGAGTACATTATATACTACCATTGTAAAGAACACACACACATAAATGACTCGCACCAATAACTGCCCTATCATTTAAACATTTAAGTAACGGCCAATAATTCCAGATAAATACTATCAGGCCAGGTTCCTAAGGTTACCTGATACATGTACCTGTACATTACAGTGCCTGATCCACACTAACCCTTATTATCTATTCCCCCAGAAGTTATCAAGTAGAAAGCTCAAATGAAGAAAGTGATCTCATATAGAATTGCAGGTCAGTGAGACCTACGTACCGGCAAGTCCACACTAACATCAGTACCATCCAGAAGGGACACCCGACACGTGATGATGGACTTGGAATCTCCAGCTGCAGGAATGTGTGTGGCAGCTCGTTGAGCTTCTCGAAGTCGTTCCTTCTCAGCATGTTTGCGCATTGACCGACGCCCAAGCGTTCTACGGAAGAATCTCAGCATTTTTGTCACTATAAAACGGAGAGAAAAAGATATCAGAAGGATCCTGAATTTGCAAAATGGTGTTATTTAGTAAAGTTCTGTGGCCATTCGTAAATATGTTATTTAAAAGGGCTCCTGATAAAGTAAATTTGAAAAACTAATTAAAACTGGTCACTTCAAAGTTTTTAAAGACTTTATATAAAATAGAATTATGGCTTACAGCATTTCTAAACATAGTGGACTATTTGATAAGGAGCTGATCTGGTAGGAGAGGGCAAACATTTATGAAGTTTATCAGGTCTTTTGGATCACTAAATTATAGCCATATCCCCACAAACATTAGGAGGAAATGCCATACACTAAGCATGTCAAACCTGTGGCCCAGCCAATGTAACGATATGTAAGAAATGTTTTAATAAAAATTTTGATACTTAATTTTTATAATATCCTGTTATATATATAACCCTATATAATAAAAGCCTAATATGCCAGGTGTTCAACAATTCGTTCGACCAGTCGCTATGACGCACACTGATCACCAGGGGGCAGACACTCCGACCGATAGGTTAGCTTGCTGTTGGAGTCCAGCTGATCGGGACTGGGTGAGATGGGCTGGACATGCCCTGGAGCCCTCCCGCGGTCCCACCGGCTCTGATCATACACCGGTGGGGTCCCTTGGCCTGGCCTGTGGGGATCGGGCCAAAACCAGCAGTCTGACATCCCCCAAGGGGTCCCAGATTGCGAGAGGGCACAGGCCAGGCCAAGGGACCCCACTGGTGCACAAATCCATGCACCAGGCCTCTAGTCTATATAAAAGCCTAAGCAACCGAATGACCGAATGACCAGTTGATCAGTTGCTGTGATGCGCACTGACCACCAGGCGGCAAACACTCAACGCAGAGTTAGCCCCTGGTGGCCAGTACGCTCCCACAGCCAACCTCTCCACCCCCTGGCCAGCTGGCCCAACGGCCCCAATCAGGCGGCCAACCTCCCGCAACCCCTCCCCCCCCCCGGGCCAGCCTCCTCCCCCTGGCCATCCAGCTGGCCAACTTCCCACGGCCCAATCGGCCCTGATCACCGGCCAGGCTGAGGGACCCCACCACTGCACAAATTCATGCACCTGGCCTCTAGTTATTAATAACAAACTACAACTTCAGCTAATGACTGATTACTATAATCGTGTTGCATTCATTTCCCTTACACACCTTACACGCAGTCGCACCATTTCTCTCCACTAATACTAGCAGCAAATATTTTAGCAGCAGATTACCATGTCATTAGTCTTGTACTGACTTGTTTGGTGTGCGCAATAGGAAATATTTGGAGAACAAAAATAGGTTTATTGCATTACATTATTAATTTGTGCAGTTATTCAGTGTCTGGTAAGTTAATGTTCAAGAAAAAAATATTAATTTTTATTAAACTGTTCTATTTTGTGTTAACAATTATTCATTTATTTCAGCCTTTGTATTCAGCCTGTCTCTATCGATATATATCTATGTTTCTATGAAAATTGAAGCTTTTGTTGCTTTGCAGCCCACATAAACTTAAACCTTGTTTATGTGGCCCGTTTTAGCCTTTGAGTTTGACATGCTTGCCATACTCTAAGGCAGCAGTTCTCAACCTGTGGGTCGCGACCCCTTTAGGGGTCGAATGACCCTTTCACAGGGGTCGCCTATATAATCCTGCATATCAGATACTTACATTATGATTCGTAACAGTAGCAACATTACAGTTAGGAAGTAGCAATGAAAATAATTTTATGGTTGGGTCACAACATGAGGAACTGTATTTAAAGGGCCAGAAGGTTGAGAACCACTGCTCTAAGGTATCCTTTGATGATAATAATCCTAAGAGTTCCATTTATCTTCTGAGCTTCCATAATAAAAATAAAAAATAATCACTTTTTTCAACTAAAATACAAATATATTTCAAGTATATGTTTTTATCAAATATTCCATTATTAGTTACAGATTTTAAACTGCTACTTAATATAAACAATTCTTTATAATATCATAATGTTACTTTGTTCCTTATCTCTATTAAGAACATTAAAGTTAATAAAAATGGGTATTAGTAATTTAAAAAATATAATACACATAAAATGGGAATACCAAAAACTACCATGTTAACCTAATGTTTGAATTTACAAAACTAAGAGTTTGAGAAAAATACATATAACTAAGCCAACAAACAAAAAAAGACAATTATTCATTCCAGAGAAAACAGGAAGTTATGTAAAAAAAGGAAAGTAATCACAGTATACTACATGGCTCAGCCAATAATTTAATCATCTACTTATATAAAAACCCTGGGTGTAACATCACAGCCAGAAGCTCGGCCAACTGGAAGGAAGTCAGTTCTATAGGGGTTCTCTTGGAAACGGCTGTGTCCTCCCCCAGCTGCTTTCTGGAGGGCGAGATTTCAGGCAGGAACCCTCTCACGGAGTGGAGCGTGGAAGTGAAATGATTTGTAATGGATCTATTATTGAAACTACCTTTGGAAATACTATATCTATAGATCAGTGGTCCTCAACCTTGGCTGCACATTAGAACCACCTGGGAATCTTTTTAAAATCCTGATTTCTGGGCCTCATCCTCCGGAAATTCTGTTTCTTTGTTACTAACGTTGTGGGCCCACCCCATAACAAAGAAACAATTTCTGGAGGATGAGGCCCAGGAATCAGGATTTTAAAAAGATTCCCAGGTGATTCTAATGTGCAGCCAAGGTTGAGAACCACTGCTATAGATAATATTAAAAATATATCTAAAAAAATATATATATATATATAAACATGCAATTCTTTGTCCAAAAAATGAGCATGTTCAAAAATTAAATGAAGAAACTTTGGATATACTCCATGCAGATTTTCACACATATTTGAGTGATGATTCCATTGATTCCACAGATGATGCTGAAAAGGAAAATTTTCCCATCAAATTTCTTAATAGTATTACTCCTTCAGGAATGCCGTGTCATAAATTAAAATTGAAAGTGGGTGCAATCATCATGCTATTGAGAAATCTCAATAGTAAATGGGGGGGGGGGGGGAATGGACACATATGTAATACCCTTTGTATTACTTTATGCAATAAAAAAAAAAATAGTAAATGGGGTCTTTGTAATGGTACCAGATTTATTATCAAATGATTAGGACCTAACATTATCGAAGCTGAAGTATTAACAGGATCTGCAGAGGGAGAGGTTGTTCTGATTCCAAGAATTAATTTGTCCCCATCTGGCACTGGCCTCCCATTTAAATTGATTTGACAACAGTTTCCTGTGATGCCAGCATTTGTGATGACTATTAATAAATCACAAGGACAAACTCTAGACAAAGTAGGCATATTCCTACCTGAACCCGTTTTCGCACATGGTCAGTTATATGTTGCTTTCTCTCGAGTTTGAAGAGCATGTGACGTTACTGTTAAAGTTCTAAATACTTCATCACAAGGGAAATTAGTCAAGCACTCTGAAAGTGTTTTCACTCTTAATGTGGTATACAGGGAGATATTAGAATAAGTTTAATCACTTTATCAGTCATTGTTTGCATCACTGTTGTTTTCATATTATGTTTTTGTTGTTTTCATATCATGTTTTTGCCATTTTTATATCATGCCTCTTTGGTTGTTATATCCTTTTGTTACTGTTTAGTAATAAATTTATATATTATTTTCATATACATTTTACTAATTTCCTTCATCTCTCACACTTCTATTACAGAGAAAGGGCAAATAGCAATATTAAAATATCTCTGCTAATTAATTCCCTTTTTTGAAAAATATATATTTTATTGATTTTTTACAGAGAGGAAGGGAAAAGGATAGAGAGTTATAAACATCGATGAGAGAGAAACATCGATTAGCTGCCTCCTGCACACTCCCCACTGGGGATGTGCCCGCAACCAAGGTACATGCCCTTGACTGGAATCGAACCTGGGACCCTTGAGTCTGTAGGCCGATGCTCTATCCACTGAGCCAAACCGGTTAGGGCAATTAATTCCCTTTTGATGTGCACAAATGTCGTGCACAGGGCTACTAGTAATATTATAAATACTAAATACTGACCTAACCAGAACTAAATGAAGGGTATAGCAGAGCTAGGTGTGGACAGAGAGCTAATTCCTCATCTTGCCAGTAGGAATTCAACAGATAATTCCTAAAACTAAAAATCAAGAAGTAGCAATAACAGCATGTTATTAAAAATGTGACAGTGGTTATCTTGAGGAGGGAAATAATTCAGGGATTCTGATTTTCAAAAGAAGCCTTTCCATTAGATGACTCAATTAGATAACATTTATAAACTTGACAAAAATAAAAGCTAACTTTAAATAAATACTATCACATTTTTTAAAAAAGTGTTCATTGCCCTGGCTGGTAATGATCAGTTTTTGGAGCATTTGCCCACAGACCGAAGAGTCATGGGTTCAATTCCCTGTCAATAGCATGTACGTTGGTGCAGGTTCCCCAGCTGCAGGAGTATGAACAGGAGGCAATCAATCGATGTGTCTCTCTCACATCCATGTCTGTGTGTCTATCTGTCTGTCTCTCTCTCCCCTCTCCCCTCCTTCCCTGCCACTCTCTCTAAAAGTCAATAGCCAGAGTATCCTTGGGTGAGGATTAAGAAAATAAAAAAATGTCTATAAATTAAAAGTTATCAACATATACATATTACATGTATGGATATTCCTACATAATTAGGTAAATTGGAAAAGCCATGGTACTTGTCATTTGTACATTCATCTGCTTAATCCTAAGGAAATAACTAAAATTTTAGATAGCTTTCAAGTTTACTAAGCATCCATAAAAAACCTCTGGCTCCAGTCTCTCTCTCCAGGTGTGTTTTTCAGGCACTGCTCCTTTTGCACCTTGCTATCCAGTCTCATTTCAGCTGCCTATGAAAGGTCATACTTGTTATCCCAGACTTCTGTCAGAGAATCGCTCCTTATTCCTATTAACTCAGCAACTCTACCTACATCTCCCCCAAGAAACAGTTAGTTCTAAACCCTGAAAATATTTTACTGCTTCAC